ACTGTGGTCACGTGTGCTCGAGTGTGTGCGATTTTATAAACGCGTTTTCTGTGTAAATAAATAAGTGAGTGAAACGATGTCGTATCGGTATGCATGAGCATATAAAATGCTACTTTTTCCCTTTTTCATGAAAAAACAGAAAAGCTTCTGGCTATGGCGTTTTTTGCTTCCGCGTTCAATTTCACTTAGATTTCACACTTACAACCATAAATGATAATATATTTAGTAAATCAATTTTCATAATAATTTTTGAATTGTGTCAATAAATTAGTATTAAATTAATAAAAGATCTTAATGAAAATATATATAATAAACCTACAGTCAAAATTTCAATTTAAGCTAATTTGTACTTAATGAGTGATAGCCAATTGTATAAAAATTAATTATATTTTCATACATAAGATTTACTAATAAATATTTATTAATAAAATACCAAATATAGGCAAAATAATTTTTCGCCCAAAATCATACCAATTATGACAATAATGATTGGTCCATTATATAGACATAGATAACATGTTTACATCGGCTCCTCTATTTTTAGAAAAAAAATAAAAACAATAAAAAAAGGGTTGGTGTATCTTAAAAAAAAAAGATGTATAAAATTGATGTGTATTATGAATAATAAAAATAATGTGCATATATAATAAGTTTAATTGTTTATTTCTCCATGGGAGGACAAGACGGTAATGTCGAACTTGTCCCTAGGGCTGTGTAGTCAGCCCCGACGCCTTTGATTTCACACACAATTTGTACCGTGGGTTTGTTATTGGCATTTTTTGTCAAATTGTTTGTTTATGCGGTTTTGACCGAGTTAGAAACGTCAAAATAATGTTGAAATGTTGCTTACGGTGGAGCGTTGTCCCGACTAATCCGTTGGTCGACCCGGGTCGTACATCTGACAATGGTGGGTGAGTCTCCCAACAAGAATTTTCTGCATTCACAAGGACTCGAATCCGAGACTTTGCTTAAGCGACATCAATCTGCTTACCACTTAATAAATATTCATTGGCCCAATCATATACATCCGAACCTGGTTGTGTTGTTCAGTTTTTCCTTTCACTTTTTGTGAACTTTTTTTCCTTCAGTTTTTTTGTTAATTCGTATTTTTTTTTCAAACATCAATTTAATATTTAATAAATATACATGATACTTTTAATATTTTAATAAGTTATTTTTTATGTTGATCTTTAATAAATACGAAAAATTAAGCAAAATTACTTAATCATGACAAATTTATTTTTTGCTAAAAATAATTATATAAATATAACCGATGTATATTGCTTTATAATTTTTTATATAAATTATTTTATCACATATTGCCACATATATTTTTTTCAAAATCAATTCGCTAATTTTACCAAACAACACTTTACGGAACTGCCAACACTAAGTACTGCTCGTCAGAATAGTTGATATAATCCGTCGGTCAAAACAACTATAACAATTCGGCAACAGCTAACAACTGATTACTAAACAAGGCCTGTGTGATTTTACTTAATTTTTATCTCTTTTCGAGATGATGGTGATCTATAGTCTATTTTGTGAGCTATTTTAATATCCAATATCATCTTGAAAAGAAAAATTTTATTATGATAAAACTGCATTACTTTCAGCAATACCTACCGTCTTAAAAGTGAATGGTCGACGTATTTTACGTGTAAAATTTATATGCATACTAATAAAGTTGGATACATTAATGTCTAAGATATAAGAATTGGACAAGTTTGTATTTATTGTGTCCAATTAAAGGTTGATGATACTGATTGAAGTCTCGACCTATGGAGATATTTAAGGTTGGCTGGAATTGTTACCACGGAAAGTCTTAACGACACTCGTGTTACAGTGTATAATACGTTAATAAATAAAAAAAAAATATACTTGCAAAATTTTTTTACTTTAAAAATTTTAAAAATAAAATATAAGTTGTATCTTTAGTCAAACATAACCTGGAGCTCGAGCACGAGCCTCTTAATTAGTCACTACAAGAAAATAGAGCTCTAGTTAAGAAATTTTTTGTCACTATGTTGTCACTATATCTACTGTCACTATATCTACAATTGTTGTCACTATATCTACAGCAATTGTAGATATAGTAACAACAATTGTAGATATAGTGACAACAATTGTAGATATACTGACAGTAGATATAGTGACAACAATTGTAGATATAGTGACAAAAAAATTCTTCACTAGAACTCTATTTTTTTGTAGTGAGTCGAGCCGAGTTCAATTCGCTAAATAAACGAGCTAGAAATCGAGTTCGAACTCGGACTGTTTATAGCTCGGCTCGTTATTAATGTTAAAGAGCCGAGTGATAGTAACTCGATCTCGAGGTTTAACGAGTTAAACTATAGAAATTGTACAAAAAAATATCTTAACGAGTCTCAATTCAAATGCCTCAAAGTGGGGCTGCTTGTTAACTGGGCAAGTAGTCTTATCGAGTCGATCGAGCCGAATTCGGCTAGTTAACAAGACAAGTTTAGACGACTAGCTCACGAGTTGCTCATTTAAATTCGGCTAGTTAACAAAACGAGTTTTAGACGACGAGCTCACGAGTTGCTCATTTATCAAAGGATTTGAGCCGAACTCGAGCCTTAACTAGCCGAGTTCACGAGCAACTCATTTTGTTTAACAACGGCAAGCATAAGTCAACCAAGACTTCATTTATTTTTCTAGATAGAATAAGATTCTTTTTATGCAGAGTGATATTGATTATATTGTGGAGATCAAAATAGATCTACGTTTGTTGTCAATGAACGCGATCAAAATGGATCTACGGAAGATGTTTTTTCATTTCGGGCCGAATTTAATTTTTGAGGTTCACAATCTAGATTAACAAATGCAAAATTTTGAGGGTCATAATCTTGACTAATCTACAAGCAGATGAAAACCCAAAGTTAAAAAATAAGTCAGTTAGCGATTATGATGATGCTTTGGACCCCATGCAGCTCTATCTCGAGCTATCCGCGAGCTTCTACACCGGGATTGGAGTGTTCAGATCATGCACATTTACAGGGAATCGAATTTCGCCGTTGATCATTTGACGAATTTGGCGGCATCTTACCCGCCTGGCTTGCATTGTTTGGAGTCCCCTCCGGAGGGCTTGGGTGCTTGGCTCGATCACGACAATGAAGGGTTGTCGTATCCCCGTCAAGTTCTAGCTTAGGACTCTTGTCGTCCTTTATTGTACCAAAAAAAAAAAAAAAATAATAAAAATGTTTCTCCTCTCTTATTCTTGCTTTTTCAAGTAGGAAATTGGCTCTCTAGTCCCCATTAGTCTTATAACAGTTATCAGGTAACGCACGCACTCTCGAGCAAATCCCCGAATTTATCGTTTTTCACAATAACTAACGCTTCCCTAACTTTATAAATTAGTTAAGAAACACAACTATTATCACTCACTCTCCATTATTTCCATACCCACAATGGATTGCCTCTTCCCATTTCTCTTGTGCTGCATTGTCCTTCTCATGCCCGCCGTCTTCCTCCTCCTCCACCGACGGAGCCACTCTTCAGCCGCCGCCCGCCTCCCTCCGGGCCCTCCCGGATGGCCCCTGTTCGGCAACATGTTCGACCTCGGCCCGGAGCCCCACAAAACCATAGCCGGGTTGAAAAAGGCCTATGGGCCCATCATCTCGCTGAGAATCGGGTCGATCAAGGCCGTGGCCCTCCTCGATGCCCAGTCGGCGTCCGAGCTGTTCAAGAAGCACGACGCGGGCTTTGCCGAGCGGGCCATCACCGACGTGATACGGGCCACGGGCTTTGACCGGGCCTCCATCTCGCTCTCCCCCTATGGGCCCTATTGGCGCATGATGAAACGAATCGTGACGGTAGATTTGCTGAGCCAGCGGCGGATCGATGAGATGGGGCCCGTCCGGCGACGGTGCGTGGACGACATGCTGAGGTGGATCGGGAGGGAGGCTGGGCCCAGGCGGCCCGTACATGTGGCGAAGTTCGTGTTCGTAGCGTTATTCAACATGATCGGGAATTTGGTGTTGTCGCGAGACTTGGCGGGCCTAGAGTCTGATATGGCATCGGATTTTTTCGAGGCCATGTTGGAGGCGATAGAGTGGTCGGGCCAACCAAACGTGGTGGACGCGTTTCCATGGCTATGGTGGGCCGACCCGCAAGGGTTGAGGCGGAACGTGAAGCGTGGGTTGAAGAAGACGTTGAGGATTGTCGGGGATTTTGTGGCCGAGAGGTTGAGAGAGAGGCAGTCGACGGGTGTGGAGGGAATAAAGAGGGATTTTCTCGAGGTGTTGCTTGAGCACCAGAGGAACGAAGATGGGGAGATGGGTACAATTTCCGACCACGACATCAACATAATTGTCTTGGTAAGTGGCAACAAGATACAACGATTTTTGGTCATGAAAATAACACGTCAATCTATTCAAAGTTCGACAGGTCGAGCAAAACCGAGCTAACAATATTTTTGTTTGCGAATAGGCTTTAAGCAAACACAAACAGCTCGCACCCAACTGAACCGAACCCAACTAGATATATTTTATATTACATAAACTAGTAATATAAAATGAAATTCCAAAGTGAAAAACCACAAACCCATTTTTTCAGTTCGGCTTGGTTTTAGTAGTTGATTCGGCTTCAATTCGGTTATAAGTATTCATCGAAACCGATTTCCATTATCGCCCCGCGTGAGATGGTTATTGCAGGAGTTGTTCATAGCAGGAACAGAAACAACGAGCAGCACGATTGAGTGGGCCGTGGTCGAGCTTCTCAAGCATCCACAAGTCATGACCAAAGTCCGAGACGAGCTTCGCGCAGTGGTTAAGAATAAGGGAAACAAATTTGAAGAGCAACACGTGGATAGCCTGCCTTACCTGCAAGCGGTGGTAAAGGAGACCATGAGGCTGCACCCGGTGGTCCCGCTGTTGGTCCCCCGACAGGCGGCCGAAGAAACCATATTCATGAGCCACCAAATTCCCCGAGGGGCCCAAGTGTTCGTGAACGCGTGGGCCATAGGGCGTGACCCGGAGTGCTGGGACGAGCCCATGTCGTTTAGGCCCGAGAGGTTCCTTGGGTCCAGGGTTGACTATAAAGGGCAAAATTTCGAGCTGATACCGTTTGGGGCTGGGAGGAGGATCTGTGCCGGGATCCCTCTGGCCCACCGGATGCTGCACCTTGTGCTCGGGTCGTTGCTGCACGAGTTCGAGTGGCAGGTGGACGGGCCGGACCTGGTCGGGCTGGTTGATGAGAGGGAGAGAATGGGGGTGGCGGTCAGGAAGTTGGTTCCCTTAAAGGCTATACCTAGCAAGCAAGTGTTCCACCTAAATATGACAAATATAAATGTTTAGAAATTTTAAAATAAAGACCTTAATATTCTCTTTTCGTAAAATGTTTAGATATTTTAAATAAAATAAACCCTTGATGGTAATATTGGGGCATGCCCAGGCTGTTGTTTTAATTTGTTTAAAGATATTGGCGTGTGTGCTGTGGATTACTTGGTGTAGATAGAATTGAGAGAAGTTACCATTTTATTAAGTTTCTTATTATGCACTGTTATATAACATAATTATAATCTGTAAGTTCTAACTATGATCAATTATAATTTATGACATAATAATTTCTAAATTTTAGCGAATAAATTATAATTTTAACATAATAATATCTAAATTTTAACATAATTTTTATAATAAATAAAAATTTGATTAGTAAAAAAGAAAAAATCGCGCGGTTGCTGACTTTACCGACCGGACCGTGGTCGGCCGCAATCCTCAGCCCGCGGCCAACCGCCACCTTGTGCGGCTTTTTTTTTAAAAAAAAAAATGTTGGGTGCAAAATTGTCTAAATGAGGGCGATAAGTAGTATAAGGCGATAAGTAGTATAAGGGGAATGTGATAAGTGATAACAATTCACTTGTTATAATGTTAAAAACTTAACTGGCCTATAGTACAAGATTAATGTTTAATTTTTATTTAATCGACGGTCAGATATGTTGTTAGGTCATTTTAATAATGACATACTTTGAATTTGATCTTTTTTAAATTCACCAGTTGAATCTTTGAGGAAGAATAAGTCGACTAATAGAAGCTAAAAAGTCCCCATTAGCCCCCTATATCAGGTAACGCGTAACGCACACTTTCAAAGCAAATTCGTATTTTTTTTTTTGTTGCCAAGTATCTAGAAATATGTCCCCACTAATTCGTTGGTCGATTCGGGTCGCACATCTGGCAGTGGTGGGTGAGTCTCCCAACAAGAATTTTCTACATCTACAAAAATTCGAATTCGAGACATTGATTAAGCGACATCAAGCTATTTACCACTTAAGTCAAACTCTGTTAATAAGCAAATTCGTATTTTAATTTTTATAATGGTAGAAATACTGACACGGCAATGCTCAATCTATAGGTAACATAGTGAATTGGCAAGTTGACCCGCTTTCGGATTTTCTTATGAGATGGCTTGAGTCACTTTCAGCTTAACTAGTGGTCTCGTGTTCGAGCCCTGAGAATGCAGCAGTGTTAAAACTCTTGAGGGAGAACTTTGGCGCCCTTGTGGTCCTACCCGGCTCGATTCTGGATTAGTCGGTTCCCCTGTGGATCCGAAAACCGGAAGATCCCTGTACCAAAAAAAAAAA